GGAGGAGGAGGAGGAGGAGGATGAATGACCTGGGATGCATTGGAGGCCTGCGGAGGGTCAGAGGAGCTGGAGGGGAATGGAAACGAGTCACCTTAGAAGCCTTGGAGATGTTTGACAACTTTGACGCTTGCGAGGACACAGACTCCTGAGAACCCGTCAAATACAACTCTCCTGCTCCTCCTGCTCCTCCTGCTCCTCCTGTATCCATCGCGCTCCTCCACTTCCTTCTCTGACCTTATCCTCCTTTCTCCCCGACTTGTTCCCCTGTCTCGTTCTACCACCGCACCCTCCTTCCTCCTCCACCTCCCCTCTGCTACTGCCTTGCCCTCTCCCTCCTCTCACCGATACGGATGCCCTGCTCTGAGAGCGCAACTCATCGAAGTCCTCCAGCATCTCCTTCTCTTCCTCCTCCCGTCTCTCCTCCTCCTCGCGTGCATCTGCGTTGTCGAACAGCTCCACCATCCTCCTCCTCGCTGCGTTTCTTGCTCCGTGTCCTCTGAACACTCGCTGGATCGTCATCGCAGCCTGCCAGCGCCCGTCATACCTGCTACATGCTCCTTCCAACCCTACCTGCTCCTCTTCTGGGGTGGACTGCTCCTCCTCCTCTTCCTGCTGGAACAAGCATCAGTATCCCTCTCCTCTCCTCTCCTCTCCTCTCCCCCTCCCCAATTTCTCCCTCTCCTCCCCGTTTGTTTCCTGCCTCCTCCTCCTCTTCTCCTCCTCCTCCTCCTCCTGCTGCTTCTGTTCTCCTCCTCCTCCTCCTGCTCTGTTCTCCTCCTCCTCCTGTTCTCCTGTTCCTCCTCCTGCTTCTGTTCTCCTGCTCCTCCTCCATACCGGCATTGAATCCAGGAGCTCTTGCAAGTAGACCTGCACCCTCCCCCGCTCCCTGTGTCCTCTCCACACCCTCTGCACCGTCATCGCTGAGAAATGCATCGCTCGGCTGCTCGTGACCGCGTACCGGCTCCTCACCTCCTCCTCCTCCTCCTCCCGCGGCATCTTCTTCACTTCCTTCCTTGCCGCATGGCCCCGCATGACCCTCTGCAGGCAGACAGCAGCTTCGTGCTCCTCTGCCCTCCTCACCAGCTCCTTCCTCGCCCGATGCCCACGGAAAACTTTCTGCACCCTCAGCGCCGCTGCGCTGGCGCCCACGTCCATAGTGAGGAGGCGGTACCTCCTCCTCCCCCGATGACCATGGAAGACTCGTTGGATCTGAATGGCGGCAAACTCCTCCGCCAGGCTCTGCCGCAGCCTCGCTCGCTCCATGTGCCCTCGGTACGTCGCCTGCAGCCGCAGGGCCGACCGCGTCTGGCGGATCAGGAGGAAGCCTTGCCTCCTCCCCACGTGGCCCCTGTACACTGACTGCAGCTTCTGCGCACACGCCTCCTCCCACTCCAGCAGCCTCATCATCGCTACCACCTGCCGGTGGTGGACGGCGAACCTCCTCGATATGTGCCCCCTGTAGACAGCCTGCAGCCGGTTGGCCGCGTGCTGCCTGCGAACGACGAGCATGTCGAGCCTCGAGATGTGCCCTCGGTAGACGGACTGGATCTTACACGCAAGGAAGTTCATCCTTCTGAACCTCGTCAGCTCTCGCCCCCAGTGTCCTCGGAGGACGGACTGGATCCTCATAGCCGCTTCGAACTCGATCTCCGACATCTGAAGCTCCCGCTCAGCGTTCGCCTCCAGTCGAGCCAGGTGGCCCCTGTACACAGCCTGCAGCTTGTTAGCTGCCATGATGATCCGATCGATCGCTCGTTGTTTCTTCTTCCCTCGATAGACGTTCCTCCCGAGATGCCCTCGGTAAACAGCTTGCAACTTAGTCACAGCAAACTCATCCAGCTCCAGCGCCTGGTACATCTCCTCCTCCTTCGCCATCCTCCTACCCACATGCCCGCGCCACACGGCCTGCAGCTTCGTCGCTGATCGTCGCCTCCACTCCCTCCTCCACTCCTCTCGTCGCTTCGCGATGCTCCTCCGCACCAGATGCGCTCGGTAGGTTGCCTGGATCCTCGTCGAGCTGAACTTCTCCAGCTCCTCCCACTGCTTGATGCTCTCCTCCCGTATCTTGAGGCGAACAAGATGCCCACGGTAGACCGCCTGAATGTCTGCAGCCGCGTCATCCAGCCTCTTCTTGCCCAGCAGCCTCCTGAAGTATCTTCTCGCGTACATGCTCCTGACCGCGCACTGCAGCAGGATTGCGGACGAGTTCACCTTCACGGCTGCTCGGTTGTCGATGAGGATCTTCTTGAGCTTCATGAACAAGGAGCGGTAGTACTCGTCGAGAGGATGCTCCCACGAGCTCACCCCCGACACGCTGTTGTAGTAGAACACGTTGCCGTTGGCGTCCGTGTGCTCCGACCATCCCTCTGGCAGAGCAGCACACAGCGCCTCCTCCGCGATCCACAGCAGGTTCACGTCTCCAATAGGGTCCATGCCGATGTAGCGCGCGTAGTCGACGATCTCCTGTGCTGTTGGACCTCCCCGCTCCTGCGCATCGATAGGGCTGGAATGTTGGAAGTTCGGCATGGGAGGTGGACCCCCGCCGTGCCCCCTCACAGATCGGGTCATGTTGCTGGGGGGTCGATTGGCAGCAGCAGGGTCCCTTCCCCCATGTGCGATGATGCTAGACACCCTCTCGTCCACGACCGAACCTATCATCCCTTTACCCATGGACGTAGCGCCGAATGTCGGATTCGAAATCGATTGTCCTAGACTTTGCCTGTTCGTCATGGCGCCGCCTCCGTTCGTTCTCATCATCTTTGCGGTTGTGGAAGCTGTTGTTGTTGCGTACTTACGATAAATGTCGGTGATCTGTCAAGTCCTGATATTCCAACTTAGGTTTGTTGTACTCAGCCTTCTGAGTTGAGTCTAGCAGTCCCAAGGACGCAACGAGCAGCAGGCTGCCTAGCAGTGAAGCGTCTCAGCTCTTCCCTGATCCTGCTGTGGCGGCTCCCACTCTTTCTCCGATGTGCCTCCTCCTCCTCCTCCTCGCATCAGCTAGACGGCACGTTGACCGCTGGCAGGCCGTTGGCAGTTGACTAATCAGAAATTTCCGTTAAAAACCGTTGTTTTTCTTTCTCACCGGTGCTTGCTTGCTCCAAACTACCGGTTCTTGAATTTCCTGGATCAAAGTTCAAAGGTTTCAAAATTATGCTACTTAAATTCAAGATTAATCTGTGAAAATTTGTATTTTATCTGTTTCCAACCCTAGTTTCACTCCACCCGTACTTCCTCCCATTAGTACCCCCTTCTTTCCCCGCCTTGACACTCCATTATAACCCCCCCTGCACTCCCGTAACTCCGAAAATCCTGCCATCACGTGCAGCCATGGCACGACGGCGAAGCTGCAACATGCCATGACCGCGATGATCGGTTTGATGGAGCGATCTAACGAACTCTCTGCCATGGGAGCTACATGGCACGACAGGATGAGTTAGGTCGCTGCATGTCCTCTAGGACTGGCTCGGGGGAATGACTGTTATCGCCTCCATCACCTCGATCAGTTCAAGCTCTCAAGCAGCCTGGCTGGTGGGGCCGTTCGAGAAACGCAAACTTGGTCAGTCAGTACTTTCAACAAACGTCATCGAGGCATAATGCACATAGAGAAGCTTCCGCCTGCATGAAGGTTTGTATCCCACCCCCCTGCGTCTTTTTATGTTTTGTGTCCTCCGACCATGGACTACAAACTTGGGTGTTGAGAAACGGCAATTCGTTGCTGAATATGTTCTACACCTATGAAATACCATGGAAGAATAAGTTATTGTTCACTTTGGGTGCATGGATTGAGTTCGGACCGCTGTTCTCATGTCCGGTGAAAATTCATGCAATGGTGAACGGTACATGATATATATGTTTTATGATCTCTTCTCCTCCCCCATTCTACTTCGAATCCTTGCTTTTGCCTGACATTCGCTTTCCCAGATTCATCTACTGGATCGACCTCTTAATCCTGTTCATCCCATGTTATTGAGAAACTCGATCTGGGAGCTCTCAGCCTGTCACGAGAGATTCTCTTATCATGGATTCGGCTCTTCTTTGCCAGAATGTTCTGATTGCCGAGATCAACCATTATCGAGATCAGCTCACACCATTGTAAATAACTGTCGCTTTTGTAAATGATTGTCATCGTTCACATCTTGTTTCCTTGTGACGTTCGAATTCTTTCCATGTAAATCTGCGTATTCTTTCATGTAGCTTTTGTAGAATAGATTGAAAATTCATTGCAATAAACTATACAGTTTCCAACAAAATTGATTATCACCATCATATGTTCACTTGATCTAAAATTTCCCGAAGGCTGCAGGGGGGAGCATTGAATTCGACTGCATATCAACTGCATGGCCTTTACACGAAGCTGCCGGATACCTGATTGCAAACAAGTTAGCAAACATCAAAGCTTATCATCGTGAAGTTGCTGGATTATGTGAAAACCAAACCAAGAATCTTCTTCATGATAAGATGATAGAGATATCCTCGTAGGCACCCATTTATCGGACCACACGCACAACAACAGAGAGCAGGGCAATTGTTGCAGACGTCGAATCAAACATGCAGAGGATGGGAATGACTCACGGGTAGGAACAGTCGACTCTCTTGCCAAATTTGGTGTTGGAGCTGTAGTCGTTGAGAATCTCAGCCCTTAACTTCTTCATCTGCTCGGCAATCTTTGCCTTCTGAGCATCTGTAAGGACCTTTCTCTTGCGTCCTTTGGTAGCTTCACCACTCAAATCAGTGTTGGTATCTAAGAAGGTGTTGCTGTGCAAGTTGCTTCCATCATGACGAGCTCGTGCCTTTTGGAACTTGGAGAGGAACCTGTGCTTGATGAGGGGGTCGGTGACATCTTCAACCAGTCCAGTCGATGCTTCTCGATGACTCGACCATAAGATCATCAGCAGAGCAGCTATCATCATCACCAGTCCTGTCATAGCCGCCGCCGCTGCTGCCGCTCGATGTCTCCCCGACATCGACATAGCGGCGGCTTTTGAGCTCTAGGGAAAATGTTTAGTCATGTGAAGAATTCAAGTTCACCTCAACCACCATCTATGAAATTTTGAAGGCAGTAAATACATATTAGCCATTTTGGTTCTGCCCCGGGTTTTGAGGTTTTGTTGGATATGATGGCGATGATTCACAATATGAGACATCTCGGGATAGATATGGGGGGTGGGGGTGCAGTCACCATTATGATTACCGGTTATTTCTATATATAAATAGTAGGTGGGGGTGATTAGTTCAGATGGGTAGTGCCTGTTTGAACTGAAAGCTTTTGGACAGGTGGCGGGAGCTCAAAATTACACGATGATGGTAGGGTAGTTTAGAAAGGTTGGTAGGGGTACTCCAACATCTGATAATGGGTGCGTTCTCCAGGGGTAGTTCTTCACTCGTGGGGTACTCTCAAATCACCCCTTCGTTTATGATACTTGTCCTGGTATATAGATAGGTAGGGTAATGAAAAATTTGGTTTTGGGTGGGTGGAGGTGAGAATCGTATTTTCTGTGTGGGTGGGTAAGTTTACATGACAATGTCAAGGTGGGGTGGTAATATTGGAGGGGTATAGCTGCAGGGGAGGGGTGGAACGAGAGGATCGGGCATGGAAGCGATGGAGATCGACGAAGCGCTCTACAGCAGACAGCTGTACGTGCTCGGCCATGAGGCCATGCGACGAATGCAGGTATGTACACAATGATAGAGGAGAAGGAGGACGAGGAGGACGAGGAGGACGAGGAGGAAGAGTTGAATTTCTCTCTTTTGAATTTCTCTCTCGGCAAAATAGCGAAGGAAATAGTGACTTTCACAGGGCGTTGCTGTCACAAACTTGTACCACTAGCTAGCGCAGGCAGGGATTCACACTTGATTTTGGGTGAGAGGGAGAGTAGATGGAGGATAAAATTTGATGCATGACCGGAAATATCCGATCCTTTGTGGTCATCGCAAAGTATCATGTGGAAGTGAAATGAAAGATTCTTGGATACACCTTGAAGAGACAATATATATATACCGCAAGATAACTTCTCCTCACTTGAACTCGCAGGCCAGCAACATTCTTTTGTCTGGGTGCAAGGGTTTGGGTGTAGAGATAGGTAACCTCATCAAGTTGGTTTTTTATGATTGCTGACATGAAAGCAGGCAAGAATCTGGCTCTTGCTGGAGTCAAATCGCTCTCCCTCTATGACCCGAACCCAGTGGAACTAGCTGATCTTTCATCTCAGGTGCAGTAAAAGTGTATCCGGTGTCCCGAAACTGATTATGTGCTCCAGTTTTACTTCACCGAGGAGGACGTAGGCAAGAATCGAGCTGAAGTGTCTGCAGCTCGTTTGCGTGATCTGAACCCCTACGTGAGCATCGAGGTGTGCAAGGCAGAGCTTGACAAGGACTGTCTCAAGCAATTCAAGGTAGGGACTTCTTCTCCACTTGTACACAAGTACATCATGATAGCCTTCACAGGTTGTGGTTCTGTCAGACTGCTCGTTCGAGCGTGCCCTGCAAATCAATGACATTTGTCATGACATCGGCGTCCAATTTCTGTTTGCCCAGTACGTCTTCGGCTTGCACGATGATCGCATGTTGACTTCCTACAGGTCGAAGGGTGTATTTGGAAACGTATTTGTGGACTTTGGAAAGGATTTCACTGTGTTTGATACTAACGGAGAAGAGCCTACATCAGCGATGATTTCTGCGATCTCATCGGTAGGGATACTGAGCCCTCGGAATTCTACTGACTCTTGCACGCAGGAGAATCCTGGTGTTGTCACTACCTTGGATGAAGCCAGACATGGGTTGGAGAGTGGGGACCACGTCACTTTTACCGAGATCCAGGGCATGACAGAGTTGAATGGTTGTGAACCGATTCGCATCGAAGTCACAGGTTGTTCTCGTGCGCGAGATCTGGAGGGTGCTGACATGAGGGAAAGGACCCTATACTTTCACGATTGGCGACACCAGCAAATTCTCGCCCTACACCACTGGGGGATACGTGAAGCAAGTGAAAATGCCTCAGAAAGTTTCGTTTGTAAGCAACCTGCAGCATGTTTTGATCTGTACTTGACAGTTTTGTTCAGAAATCTATGCGCGAATCTCTTGTGGAGCCTGAATTCGTCCCTTCTGATTTTGCCAAAATGGACAAGCAGGAGCAAATTATGCTTGGGTTTTATGCTTTGGATGAGTTCGCCAAGCAAAAGGGCGAAGCTCCACGTCCTGGCAACATGGAACATGCGAAGGAGGTGATCAAGCTTGCCAAAGAGTTGAGCTCCAAGCACAACAACCTTGTGTCGGAATTCGATGAGAAGCTGCTCACTCAAATGTCGCTGAATGCCAGGGGAGATCTCTCGCCGATGGCGGCAGTTCTCGGAGGCATCGTTGCGCAGGAAGCATTGAAGGCATGTTCTGGAAAGTTCATGCCGATCAAGCAATGGTTTGTGTACGATGTCATCGAGGCTTTACCGGAGGATTACTTGCCAGAGGACGAAGTGAAAGCTCAGGGATCACGATATGACGGTCAGATAGCAGTCTTCGGGAAGACTTTCCAGGATAAGATTACGAACTTGAACTACTTTCTTGTCGGTGCAGGTGCGATTGGATGTGAGATGCTGAAGAACTGGGCGATGATGGGCTTGGCTAGCGCTCCAAAAGGCTGCATCCACATTACCGATATGGACACGATTGAGAAGTCGAATCTGAACAGACAATTCTTGTTCAGGGCTACAGATATCCAGAAGCTCAAGTCGACGACTGCAGCCGAGGCAGTGACCCGAATGAACAAAGATCTGAACATCAAGTGCTACTCCACCCGTGTTGGCCCAGACACCGAAGAGTTGTTCGATGATGCCTTCTTCGAAAGCCTCGACGGCGTTTGCAATGCCCTTGACAACGTTCAGGCCCGTCTCTATGTCGATCAAAGATGTATATATTATCAGAAACCACTCCTTGAATCTGGAACCTTGGGAACCAAGGGGAATGTGCAAGTGGTAGTTCCCAACCTAACGGAGTCCTACGGCTCTTCCAGAGACCCTCCTGAGAAGTCAATCCCGATTTGCACGCTCAAGAACTTTCCGAATGCGATCGAACATACAATCCAGTGGGCGAGAGACGAGTTCGAGGGTTTGTTCAAACAGGTCAGGGCGAGAGGGATTCTACGTGGTTCATGACGCTGCGTTCAGGCTGCAGAAGATGCTAATACCTACTTGAGCGACAGCGAGTACGTTTCCAAGTTGAAGAAACAGCCGGGAACAGGATTATCCACCCTCGAGATTCTTCGGGACAACTTGGTGTGTTGTGAACCCCGATTCTTCATGGAATGTTGATAGTGAATTTTGCAGGTTGCCAAGAAGCCAAAATCCATGACGGACTGCATTGTGTGGGCTAGATTGAAGGTGAATGACGATTTAAGTTTGCAGGACAAAGACGTTGAATTCTTTTGTACAGTTCGAAGAGCTCTTTGTAAATAATATTAAGCAATTGCTCTTCAACTTCCCTTTGGACATGGTGACGGCTGGTGGAACTCCTTTCTGGTCTGGACCAAAGCGTGCGCCCACGCCTCTGTCTTTCGATCAGGGTATGTGAGGCGCCTCTGCTCCGATGAAACTGAGAGTCTCTGCAGAGAATCAGCTCCACCTGGACTTCGTCATCGCAGCTGCGAACCTGAGGGCGGGAGTGTTCGGCATCGAAGGCACAAGGGACGTGGCTGCCATCAAGGTGAGCTGCATCTGCTCTGTCGGTCGTGAACCTTGTGAGACTTGTTCAGGCTGCTCTTGGCGATGTGATGGTGCCGGAGTTCACACCGCAGAAGGGTATCAAGATCCAGGTGAAGAAGGCGGTGAGGATGCGAGCGGATAGTGAAGAATCCTGCAGGTCAACGAGGCTGAGGCGCAATCAGACCAGAGTGCTCCACAAGATCTTGACGAGGCAGAGCTCAATCGCGTCATTTCGCAGCTGCCGAAACCAGAAGATCTCAAAGGTGGGTGGGAAGTGCGGAGAATGTTCTTGCCGACTGAGACGTCCGCGCGAAGGTCTCAAGTTGAACCCAATGGAGTTTGAGAAGGACGACGATACCAACTTCCACATCGACTTCATTACGGCCTGTTCGAACCTCAGGGCGACAAACTATAACGTTGACCTTGTGTGATCCAACTGAGAAGGTGTGAAGCTAGTTCTCGCAGATCACCAACGCCGACAAGCATCAGACCAAGTTCATCGCCGGCAAGATCATCCCTGCCATTGCAACGACTACTGCCATGGTCACTGGCTTCGTTTGCTTCGAGCTCTACAAGCTGGTAATTGCTTCTCGTCCACCACACTCTTGTGATGATCCTGGAAGGCTCGGGGAGTCAAGCTGGAGCAGTACAAGAATGCCTTTGCCAACCTTGCGCTCCCCCTCTTCACCTTCTCTGAACCGATCGCTGCTCCTGTCCGGAAGTTCAAGGATCAGGTAACGCGAGCTTGCCGTCTGTCTCTCCCTTACAGACCGTGCAGAGCTGGTCCCTCTGGTCTCGCATAGATATCGATCAAGGGGACATTTCTCTCCAAGAGTTTATCGACTTCTTCCAGGTCAGCCGTCCAGCCCATTGCCCCTCTACCTCATTTCCCCAGCTTTCCCTCTCTCTGCTGATTTGTAAGCCTTCCAGAAAAACATGGATTTGGAGGTTTCCATGATCTCTTGCGGAGTGTCGATCCTGTACAGCTCGTTCATGACAACAGGAAAGAAGAAGCAAGAGCGAATGCCAATGAAGTACGTCCTCTCCTCCTCCTCCTCCTCCTCCTCCCTCTCCGCTTCCCTCCCTCCTCCTCCCTCCTCCCTTCCTCTGCTTGACTTGTCCCTGACTGCTGTCAACTAGGATGAGCGAGCTCGCCAAGAGCATCGCCAAGATTGAGTTCGGGCCGAAGCAGAAGTACATGGTGCTAGAAGTGTGCTGCTCGGACGAGGACGGAGAGGATGTCGAGACTCCGTATGTGCGCTATAAGTTTCGATGAGGGGGAGGGCCAGTGCTCGTACAAGAGCTTTAATGAAGTTTAGATGGCTGAAGAGCTTGGGGGGGGCGGGGGCAGGGCAGGCAGAGGAGGATATGGTCATCTTGTCTTGCTCAGCCCTACCAGGACTTCTCAGGTGCTGCGGTCGCCGCCAGGCCCGAACCTGCTGAGCTGAGCCATGAAGGGATCGCTGGCAAACTGCTGCCAGTTAGCTTGATACATTCCCATCAGCTTGCGGCTCGTCGCCTCGTACTCCTCCTGGGAGGCCCAGGTGTTCCTCGGGTTCAGCACGTGCGCGTCGACGCCTGGAAGAGCGAGAGGGACGGAGAGCTGGAAGCAAGGATCGGGAGACGAGAAGGTCGCCTCCTCGATGGACCCGTCGAGGATTGCAGCCACGATCGCCCTCGTCGTGTTGATGTCCATGCGCCTGCCGGTCCCGTAGGAGCCGCCGGACCATCCGGTGTTGACAAGGAAGACTTGGCAGCCGTGCTGCTCGATCTTGCTGCGGAAGAGCTGTGCGTACACGCGGGCAGGAAGGGGCATGAAGGCACCCCCGAAGCAGATGGAGAAGGTTGGGGTCGGCTCAGTGATGCCCATCTCCGTCCCTGCCACCTTGGACGTGTAGCCGCAGACGAGGTGGTAGAGAGCCTGCTCGGTAGAGAGGCGAGAGACCGGAGGGAGCACCCCGAAGGCGTCGCACGTGAGGAAGATGACGTTGCGAGGAGGAGGAGCGGTGCCGCTGGGCTGGTAGTTGGGGATGTGCCACATGGGATAGCTTCCTCGCGTGTTCTCCGTCTTACTGATGTCCTTGTAGTCCGGCCGGCCGTGCTGATCCAGTACAATGTTCTCTAGGATAGCGTTCTCCTTGATCGCGGCATGAATCAGGGGCTCCTTGCTAGGGTCCAGGTCGATCATCTTGGCGTAGCATCCTCCCTCCAGGTTGAAGATCCCCTCCTCGTCCCAGCCGTGCTCGTCGTCTCCGATGAGGAAGCGGGTGGTGTCAGCCGAGAGCGTCGTCTTGCCCGTCCCGCTAAGCCCGAAGAAGATGGCCGTGTCTCCTCCCTTCCCCACCGTCGCAGAGCAGTGCATGGACATGATGTTCTGCAGGGGGAGGTAGTAGTTCATCATCGAGAAGGCTCCCTTCTTCATCTCTCCTGAGTACTCCGTCCCTGTGATGACCGACAGCCCGCGGTTCAGGTCGAGTGCGACGCAAGTCTCGCTCCGCAGCCCAGCCTCCTTCCATCCCTCGAACAGGTACCTGCTGTTGAGAATCGTGATGTCCGGCTTGAAGCTCGCAAGCTCCTCCTCTGTCGGGCGGATGAACATGTTGGTGCAGAAGTGGTGGTGCCATGCAAGCTCCGTCACCACCCGCACGGCCTTGCGGGAGGACCGGCTCGCCCCCACGAAGCCGTCGAAGACAAAAACTTCTTCCAGCCCGCAGAGTCTCTTAGCGCTTCCCTCCATGACCTTGTCGAACACTTCCTCCGTAATCCCTCTGTTGATGTCTCCCCATCCCACCTTGCTCGCGGCCTCTCCCGCGTTCACGATGTAGCGGTCCTTCGGGCAGCGTCCGGTGAACTTGCCCGTGTCGACCAGGAGAGCCTCGCTCTCTTGCACCAGCGATCCCTCCCCTCGAGCAAGGATCTTGGCTCTCACGTCCTCGAAGGACATGTTGCGGTGGCATCCTGGGTGGTCCAGGAAGTTGAACGGCACGGCTGGCTCCACTAACTTGGAGGTAGTGTAGGTGGCAAGCTTCAGGGTCTGCTCGACCACGTTGTCGCAACTTTCTTGGCGAACGTTGAACATGTTCTTGGTGTTGATGGTGAAGTCGTTGGATGTGGAGCTTGCCATGGCCTGTGCAGAAAGTTATATGCAGTCTTCCTGACAGCGAGGTGTGACAAATCACATTCACTCACAAACAGTCCTCACAGCACAAGTGAGTACGAATAGTTGCAGCTATGGCTCTGTGCATTCGGTTTCTTCCTTCACATCATCTACATCATAACACAGCTAGTGCTTGTTAATGCTGAGTCTGACCAGTAGGCGTGAGGGAGCAGGGATCACACGACAAAGAGTATAGTTGCAACATCGTACGAAGTGCAACCAAGAACGATGAGGATTTCCTAACCCAAAGTTGCTTGCTCATCAACATCATTTCATCGCTCTTCGACATGCTACCACTTCGAAACCATCTGAGACAGAGTTTGCATCATAACTTCCTTCCTCCTCCTCCTTCTCTCCCTCACTTTCTCGCGCCTCTGTTGAGCGCTCCCCGACAGTCTTATGTGGAGGGGGGAGGGGGAAATGGGGGTACGGCCCCGGTCAAAAAGGGGGGTGATGGAGTGGGGTGGTGGGGTGAGGTACAGGACCCTTCCTAGCCCAAGGTGTAAACGAGTGGGTACAACAGAAGGCTTCGTTAAAGTACCGGTACTTTTGAATAAAAAACGTCTAAAAAGTAGGGGTACTTTGAAGAAAGAGGCGCAAATTACAGGATGTAGAAGTTTAGGGGGGTATCGGCATGGTTAAAATCCGATGGGGTAGGGGTCACTACCCTAACCTATACAAAATGTGAGATATCCTGGGGTAGGGGTATCTGCTTTCCGCCCCTTGCGTGCAGTCCCTTTAAAATTATTTTCAATTTCTAAAATAATTTATGAGCATCTAAAAATACTCCTTCGGTACTGATAATATTATATGTATGAAATAAATATACTTAATAAGATTACATTATTTTACATTTCGCCTTTGAGGAAGGGGAAGGGTCGGGGCGCAGGGGGCTAATTGTACTGAAATTTTGATCACCAGCCAATCTCATCCCAAATTCTTGTCTTTACTATCAATAACTGCTAAATTGTTTTATACAAGGGACAGCCAGTACCAGGAGTTGGAGGTCGCCCCCTGCAGTAAAAAATAAAAATAACACCTTTTCGTTAAAGTCGTTTGTGAACAAGATATTGTTCGTTTATTTTAAAACACATAAACCCCAAAAATTGAAAACCCTACACTTCGTTTACGACCGAACGTACGGCGGGCGAACAGCTTACCCTCATCCCCGCTATGTCCCACTTGACTTCGAGCCGCGGCCCGGCCCGTCGGAACTTCGGAAGCAGCCCGGCCGGGCCCCGGGACTGCAGACTCAGAGCCGACTGCCACAGCACCAGGCTAACCTTCACCGTCACGTGCTGTCCTCAGACGGTCCGTCTCAGTCCGGCGCGGAACTTCCGTACCGTACCGTGGCAGCCTGAGTCACTCACGGAACTTCGGGCCGTCCGATTTGGCATCATCGTCCGACATTAAACGGTTGACCGCCGGCGCTGGCAGCTGAGCCGCGGCCGTTGCGGCGGTGCCACCCGGTGATGGAACGGCATGAAGCAACGTCTGCCGAGTCCGATCCGATCAGCCGCCGGCCGGACTGCCGTACGACGGTAGCAGCGCCGGAAGGCCCGCAGCTTCAGAAGTTCGGATGAGTCACGAGTCTGAGTCGCATCATGATGTGGCAGCCCGGGTAGCCACCGGCGGCCACCAGCGCCGGGGCCCGCGGCTGGCGGTCGCTGCCACTCCGGGAGCCTCGGAGTCACACCAAGTAGTCGGAACTTGCTGCTGGTAAGTTGATTCATAGAGAGTCATTGTTGAAGATGATCATATCCTCTCTTCTCTTCTCCTCTCTTCTGAAGTCTCCTCCCTCCCTCCCTCCCTCCGCTCCCAGGGAGCCGCTTGGAGTCCCTCCCTCCCTCCCTCCCAGCCTTCGATTCATGATCCTTTCCTTCTCTTACTCTACACCTGACGATTACAGACAGGCTATGTCCCTCCCGAACACTCTGGACTTCATCCAGTCGAAGAGGACGAGGACGCGGTTTCTGAACGCCACTTGCTTGGTGAGGTACACGCTCCTCCACAAGATCCAGCCTGCTAGGCCGGACTGTTTGGAGAGTCTCAACTGAGAGCAGAGGTCAGGAGATGGCGAGACTGAGGAATGAGGTGAGGAGGAGGAAGGTGGGAGGGGAAGGGGAAGAGAGGAAGGGGAGATCAGGAGGAGGAGCAGTAGCGGAATAAGGGAATTGAGGAGGAGGAGGAGGAGGAGGAGAAGGGAGATTAGGAGGAGAAAGAAGGGGTGAGGAAACGGGGGGATGGAAAGGGGACGAGTAAAGGAGGAGTGGAGGCTTACAAGCTGAGTTCCTGTCTTGTGAGGGGAGTCCATGCCAACCTCGACCTGAGCGATGGCGCTTCTTCCTCCCACATACGCCAGCAAGCCGAGGGACAGGAACTGAAAGGGCCGCACAAACACCCTGTGCTCGTCAATCTGCATGCTCGTCAGGCATCTTGTGAGGGAAGGAAAAGTAGAGGAGGAGGGGGAGGAGCAGGAGCAGGAGAAGGAGAAGGAGCAGCAGGGGGACGAAGGAGAACGAGGAGGACGGAGGAGGAGTTCGAGGACGAGGAAGACGAGGACGACGAGGAAATGGGGAGGGGAAAGCTGGAGGACTGGGAGGAGGGGAAGGAAAAGGGGGGCGGGGAGGGAAGGAGAAGAGGAGTGGTTGGTAGAAATATTACAATCGTCTTCGCAAGCTCATCCCCGTCTCTTGCTCTTGCTCGTAGGGACAGTGCCAGTGCTGCCCCGTACGTCTGCTCGGGCAGGAAGCCTTTGTCGGGCCCCTGACACGATTTTCCGTCAGTTGCAGCGTGTCGAGGGAGGTGGAAAGACAGGGAGGAAGAAGGAAGGGAAGTGGAAGTGCGAAGGGGAAGGAGCAGGGGTAGGAGCAGGAGCAGGAGCAGGAGCAGGGGTAGGAGCAGGAGCAGGAGCAGGAGCAGGAGCAGGAGCAGGGGTAGGAGCAGGAGCAGGAGCAGGAGCAGGAGCGGAAGCAGAAGCAAGAGCAGAACCCTGAATTGACGGTTGAAAATTCTCGCAAGATAAGCTCCCTGTTGGGCTGCGACCTGTCAATGTGCAATGAGATGACGTGACTGACTCTCGCCTATCGCCCCTTCTCGTCCTCCCACCTTCCTCTTCCTCCTTCTCCTCCACTCTCTCATTGTCCTCCCACCTTCCCCTTCCTCCTCCCTCTCCACTCTCTCCTCCTCCCTTCATCATCCTTGTCATCATCGTCCTAGTCCTCATCCTCTTCCTTCCCCCTCTCTCCCCCATTCCTGTTCGTTCCTCCATATCGTTGATCTCTTCTTCATCACTTCTTCCCCCCGTCCCCTCCTCTCCCTCCTTCAGGTCTCAGTTACCTGCGCTGTCTGCGGGAGGACAACTGACTCTGACTCAGAGCAATCTCCGAGGGCGAAGACCGACCCATCATTGATGCCCACCTGATTATGCTGTCAAGGCTAGAGAGCGGAGAGGGAGGAGGGAGGAGGGAGGAGGGAGGAGGGAGGAGGAGGAAGGGAGGAACAAGTAGCGAAGGAGGAGGAGCGAGGAGGAAAGGGAGGAGAAAACATGAATGAAAGGGAGAGGCATGACGAGGAGAAAGTCTTACAACACGCAGCCAGTCATCAGTAACGATTCGTCCCCGCTTGTCTTGCTTCCAGGGTTGATTCTAAAACCAAGCCATGTGAATCTTCCCTCC